ATAATCTAGGCATGGCCCAATATCTAAACAAATACTTTGCCTCAGTCTTTAATAAGACTAAAGAGGATCTTAGGGATAATGGTAGCATGATAAATGGGAATGAGGATATGGAGGTAGACATCACCATATCTGAGGTAGAAGCGAAACTCAAACAGCTTAATGGGACTAAATCGGGGGGCCCAGATAATCTTCATCCAAGAATATTAAAAGAATTGGCACAAGAAATTGCAAGCCCATTAGCAAGAATTTTTAATGAATCTGTAAACTCAGGGGTTGTACCGTATGATTGGAGAATTGCTAACATAGTTCCTATTTTTAAGAAAGGGAAAAAAAGTGATCCAAGTAATTATAGGCCTGTTAGTTTGACATCTGTAGTATGCAAGGTCTTGGAAAAAATTTTGAAGGAGAAGGTAGTTAAGGACATTGAAGTCAATGGTAAATGGGACAAAATACAACATGGTTTTACAAAAGGTAGATCGTGCCAAACCAACCTGATCTCCTTCTTTGAGAGAGTAACAGATTTTTTAGATAAAGGAAACGCAGTGGATCTAATTTACTTAGATTTTAGTAAGGCGTTTGATACTGTGCCACATGGGGAATTATTAGTTAAATTGGATAAGATGGGCATCAATAGGAAAATTGAAAGGTGGATAGGGAATTGGTTAAAGGGGAGACTACAACGGGTCCTACTGAAAGGTGAACTGTCAAGTTGGAGGGAGGTTACCAGTGGAGTTCCTCAAGGATCAGTTTTGGGACCAATCTTATTTAATCTTTTTATTACTGACCTGGGCACAAAAAGTGGGAGTGTGCTAATAAAGTTTGCAGATGATACAAAGCTGGGAGGTATTGCTAATTTAGAGAAGGACAGGGATACCCTACAGGAGGATCTGGATGACCTTGTAAACTGGAGTAATAGGAATAGGATGAAATTTAATAGTGAGAAGTGTAAGGTCATGCATTTAGGGATTAATAACAAGAATTTTAGTTATAAGCTAGGGACACATCAACTAGAAGTAACGGAGGAGGAAAAGGACCTTGGAGTATTGGTTGATCATAGGATGACTATGAGCTGCCAATGTGATATGGCTGTGAAAAAAGCTAATGTCATCTTGGGATGCATCAGGAGAGGTATTTCCAGTAGGGATAAGGAGGTTTTAGTACCGTTATATAAGGCACTGGTGAGACCTCACCTGGAATACTGTGTGCAGTTCTGGTCTCCCATGTTTAAGAAGGATGAATTCAAACTGGAACAGGTACAGAGAAGGGCTACTGGGATGATCCGAGGAATGGAAAACTTGTCTTATGAAAGGAGACTCAGGGAGCTTGGCTTGTTTAGCCTAACTAAAAGAAGGTTGAGGGGAGATATGATTGCTCTCTATAAATATATCAGAGGGATAAATACCAGAGAGGGAGAGGAATTATTTAAACTCAGTACCAATGTGGACACAAGAACAAATGGATATAAACTGGCCACTAGGAAATTTAGATTAGAAATTAGACGAAGGTTTCTAACCATCAGAGGAGTGAAGTTTTGGAATAGCCTTCCGAGGGAAGTAGTGGGGGCAAAAGATCTATCTTGCTTTAAGATTAAACTCGATAAGTTTATGGAGGAGATGGTATGATGGGATAACATGGTTTTGGTAATTAAATATTCATGGTAAATAGGCCCAATGGCCTGTGATGGGTTTTTAGATGGGGTAAGATCCAAGTTACCCGGGAAAGAATTTTCTGTAGTATCTGGCTGATGAATCTTGCCCATATGCTCAGGGTTTAGCTGATCGCCATATTTGGGGTCGGGAAGGAATTTTCCTCCAGGGCAGATTGGAAGGCCCTGGAGGTTTTTCGCCTTCCTCTGTAGCATGGGGCACGGGTCACTTGCTGGAGGATTCTCTGCTCCTTGAGGTCTTCAAACTACAATTTGAGGACTTCAATAGCACAGATATAGGTGTGAGGTCTTTTTTAGGAGTGGTGGGTGAAATTCTGTGGCCTGCATTGTGCAGGAGGTCAGACTAGATGATCATAATGGTCCCTTCTGGCCTAAATATCTATGAATCTATGAAACACCGATGTAGGATCCTGCCACCAGGTGAGACAGACAGTCCACAGGCCAGAATCCGGACCACCCGGTCCATGCTGTGCCAGTTGGGGATGTAGACCAATGCCAACCACGCCTGCAGGGACCTGAGGCGGACCAAGTAAGTGCAGGCCACCATGTGTCCCAATAACCACAGGCATGTGTGAGCGGTGGTGGGAGGGTGGGCTTGCATGTACACGGTGAAGTCCGCCATGACTTGGAACTGAACCTCAGGGAGGAAGGCTCTGGCACGAGTAGAGTCTAGGACCACTCCAATGAATTCTATGCACTGCACTGTGGATAAGGTTGACTTTATCTTGTTTATTAACAGTCCCAGGTCGTGACAGGAGGAACAGACCAGATCAAGATGCCGCCGTACCTGATCCTAGGATCATAGAACTGGAAGGGACCTCAAGAGGTCATCCAGTCCAATCCTCTGCACTCGTGGCAGGACTAATTATCTCAACCATTCCTGACAAGTGTTTGTCTAACCTGCTCTTAAAAATCTCCAATGATGGAGATTCTACAACCTCCCTAGGCAATTTATTCCAGTGCTTAACCACCCTGACAGTTGGGAAGTTTTTCCTAATGTCCAACCTAAACCTCCCTTGCTGCAATTTAAGCCCATTGCTTCTTGTACTATCCTCAGAGGTTAAGAAAAATTTTTCTTCCTCCTCCTTGTAACAACCTTTTACATACTTGAAAACTTATGTCCCCTCTCAGTCTTCTCTTTTCCAGACTAAACAAACCCAGTTTTTTCAATCTTCCCTCATAGGTGATGTTTTCTAGACCTTTAATCATTTTTGTTGCTCTTTTCTGGACTCTCTCCAATTTGTCCACATCCTTCCTGAAATGTGGCACCCAGAGCTGGACACAATACTCCAGTTGGGGTCTAATCAGCATGGAGTAGAGCAGAAGAATTACTTCTCGTGTCTTGCTTACAACACTCCTGCTAATACATCCCAGAAAGATGTTTGCTTTTTTTGCAACAGTGTTACACTGTTGACTCATATTTAGCTTGTGGTCCACTATGACCCACAGATCCCTTTCTACAGTAATCCTTCCTAGGCAGTCATTTCCCATTTTTTATGTGCGCAACTGATTGTTCCTTCCTAAATGAATACTTTGTATTTGTCCTTATTGAATTTCATCCTGTTTACTTCAGACCATTTCTCCAGTTTGTCCAGATCATTTTGAAATTTTAATCCTATCCTCCAAAGCACTTGTAACCCCTTCCAGCTTGATATCATCTGCAAACTTTAAAAGTGTACTCTCTGTGACATTATCTAAATCATTGATCAAGATATTGAACAGAACCAGACCCAGAACTGATCCCTGCACTTGTTATGCCCTTCCAGCATGACTGAACCACTGATAACTACTCTCTGGGAACCATTTTCCAACCAGTTATGTGCCCACCTTATAGAGGATCTATAAGGTTGTATTTCCCTAGTTTGTTTATGAGAAGGTCATGAGAGACAGTACCAAAAGCCTTACTAAAGTCAAGATATACCACATTTACCATTTCTTCCCTATCCACAAGGCTTGTTACCCTGTCAAAGAAAGCTATCAGGTTGGTTTGACACGATTTGTTCTTGACAAATCCATGCTGAATGTTACTTATCAGCTTCTCATCTTCTAGATGTTTTCTCCATTATCTTTCCAGGTACAGAAGTTAAGCTGACCGGTCTAATTTCCCGGGTTGTCCTTATTTCCCTTTTTATAGATGGGCACTATATTTGCCCTTTTCCAGTCTTCTGGAATCTCTCCAGTCTTCCATGACTTCTCAAAGATAATCCTTAATGGCTCAGATATCTCCTCAGTCAATTCCTTGAGTATTCTAGGATGCATTTCACCAGGCCCTGGTGACTTGAAGACAGCCGGGACTCTAACTACCAGCTAACCTAACACTTGACCTAATGGCTAACTAAATACCTACAAACTATGTACAAAGAAGATAACAAAAGCTGTAAAGAACTGCTAATGCTCTTGTGATCTGTAAGACAAAGCGCTCCAACTGTCATGGGGAGTAATAAGAAACTGAGAGGGCATATAGTTGGTGGTGCCTAATATACCAACACATGAGCATGGCACTCAAGCAGGCGCCACAGCCAACCCTACAGATACCACTAAGGCAAAAATCTCTGACAACTGCATGCGGGCGCGCGCGCACACACACACCCCTAGAATAGAATCAACACAAGCAAGTACTCGAAGAAAAATAAGTTTAATAATCTGGTGAGTGTTAGGTTTAACCCTCCTCTATAATGCAAAGAGATCAGTTGAGGCACAACTTAAATCTAAGCTTCACACTTCAAGTTCTTGGATGCTGTATCAAGCACTAAAACCCAGCTTTCACTGGGAAAACAGGTGTAGAGATTGAAGTTCTGAAAAGTCCATTCTAGACAGGGTATCACATTTCAGTTGATTTTCCTCTTGTCCCTACTGATTATGTGGATTCTATTACACTATTGTGAAGACACCTAACATCTTTTGAGAAACCCTGAACAATTACCTTGTACAGTGCTTTGAAACAGTAAATATAAATGATAATCACTTCCATGAGCTGTGTTCACCAGTTCTCGCATTTTAAATCTCTCCCAACTCCTTCCCTATGAATTCTTTAAAGTACATTCTACAGTCAGCTGCGCATCTGCTCTTGCACAAAAAAGATGAGGCAGTAAGAGGAAAAAAACCCAGACTGTTTCCAGTTCTGCAATTGTTTTCCTACCTCTCCATATACAGAGCTGCCATTTAGCAAAGGAGGAAGAGATTTCAGTCCAGCATTGGAGCAGAGTTGGTTTCTTGTTCCAGCTGGCTTACAATTTACCCCACCACCAAGTGCACCTAGCTACAAAATATAACGGGGCAAGCAGCTAATATGCTGTAGAGATAGTACAAGCATTTGGCTTATGAACTATCTTACCTGACTTTGCCTTCATATTGTCCATAGAACAAATGCTGCCGACTCATCCATTCAGCCATTACAAATTCCAAAGCAGGCTTGCCAGTTGGCCCAGGGAGACTACTCAGGAACTCTAACAAGGGCTCCAGCTGGGAGTGAACCAGGTGAGCAAATACCATGATCAAGGACTACAAAAGAAAAAAGAACACTAGCTGTACATATGTAATAACCTAACAATTAAGTGTTTTCTCTTTACCAAACCCCCGGAGGCTTCATGCGTTTGCTAACACTAAAAGGCATACAGATCCCTGCAAGCCTGTCCACTAGCCAAGAAAGCAAGTGAATTAGAGTAGGAGCGAGTGCTTGCCACCTTATTTAGCCCACAGAACGAGACAGGACAAATTAAACTACTCACCTGCATCTGAAACCCATAAGCCCTCCTAAAGCAAGGACAAAAATGACTAAACCAGGAGAGCTGGCACTGGGCTCTCCACCAGAAAAAATGATATATATCACGGTAGCACCTAGAAGATGCAACAAAGATCAGGGCACCATTGTGCTGGATGCTGTAACATATAGGCAGAGACAGCCCCTGCCCTGAAGAGCTTCCAACCTAAACAGACAAGAGAGACAGAGTGGGAGAAAGGCTCTCATCCCTTTTCCGGTTGAGGCATAGACATTAAGTCACTTGCCCACAGACATACACCAAGTCTATCTCCCAAGTCCTAGCCCAGTGCTTTCACCGCAAGACTATACTCATTCCCCCTTCTCATGAAACCCAACCCAGTAGCATTTCGCCAGTGGAGATGAACCACCTGGCTTAGTAACAGCTTTGTCCACCTTCCTAAAACTTTCAGTTTTTGGTTACACGGTGTAGCTTTCCAAGGTTCTGACTCAAAGACCAAGCAGTTAAAAATGAACAATATTCTTAAACTTTAATAAGAAAAGCAGGAATCTAAGTTTTTTTAAATAGACTGTTTGTTTGATTAGAATGCAGCTGCACAGCTTCTTCAGATTCCCAGGGTCTTGGGACACTGACCTGAAAAGTGCACTACAGAAGTCACAGGACTACAAGTATCTCCACCTGTCCCACTTCAGTGGGCACGAGGATGAGATTTTTGCAACTGACCAACGGGAAAGGTGCTGTTAGCAACTGCAAACAAATGCTTTTACATTCTTAAAAAGGAATATTTTATCCCTCTCACTACCCTACTGCTATACTTGGGGACAGCTGTCATAAAAACACCTCCTCTCCTCCTGAGCAGGCAGCAAAATAAAGGACATTTGGCGTACACTGTATTAAGGGGCTTCAGACAGGGTAGGGTAGAGCATAAAAGTAATGACCTAGGAAGATCTTATTTTTCCTCACACTCCAGCACTATCAATGTATAGATTTTTAAGGCTAGTAGGATCATTATGATGATCTAGTTTCACAAACAGAATTTCACCTACTTATTCCTGCACCAAACCCAGTAACTTCTGGTGGAGTTAGAGCAGTGTTTCCCATGTGGAGGGTCCTGGATCCACTAGTGGGTCACAGAAGGGTCTAAGTGGGTTGCATATATCCTGGAGGCGCTCCCTTCCACCCTAGGGCTCTCACTTCCCCCAGATAGCAGCGTAGGGAGAGGGATCTGGGCAGTAGTAGTCCAGAGAAAGTGGCCAGAGCCAGCGAGTGGCTAGTCAACCGCCTAGTAGCAATCACAGCCCCTCTGCAGGGAGAGAGGGATCAGCTGGGGCTCCAAGAGGGGTCAGAGGTGGGAAAGTGAGAGCAATAGGGCTGGAGGAGCCAAGCAGGTGGCTTGGAGGGCTGAGGAGAACCAGGAATAATGGTGGGTCCCCCAAAAAGAACAAAATGTAGTTGGTGGGTTGCCTTAGTAGAAAGTTTGAGAACCACTGAGCTAGAGTACCTTTTAGAAACAACTCCCATCTTGATTGATGGAGAAGACATCATCCTTAGGTGAGTTGTTCTAACAGTCAATTATCGTCTGTTAAAAATGTGCACCTTATTTCTACTCTTAATCCATTTAGTCTCAGCTTCCAGAAACTAGATCTTGTTATGCATTTGAGTGCTATATTAAAAATCCAGATGCTATCAAATCTTCCTGTTTATACATCTTAGGACTGCATTAGCTCTCTTCACCAACTGAACATGAGCTCCCAATGGGATGCTGTGGCAATACACCATGATCCCTATACCCTTTGCAGAGTCATTGCTTCTAGGACACAGTCCCCCTATTCTGTGAGTAGGGCCTACATTCTTTTTTCTTAGATGACCTTGCATTTGGCTGCATTAAAATATATTTCAATGACCCTAGTTTACCAGCATTGTTTTGTGTAACAGATAATAAAACAAGACATAGTATTCCAGTAACGGCTTCACTACTGTGTTATATAGTGGTAACACCATCTCTTTACTTCTACTTGATATTTGCCTACTTACTGTTCTGTAAGAAAACACCACTCAACTTCTAGAAGAGACTAAGAGATATTTCTAGATCTCAAGTACACCTCAACTGAAATTTCAGTAAGAAGTGCCAAAGTCAGGAGATGGCTTACAACATACGTGATGAAAGGCTTTAAATTCATATTCCTTTGATCCCTCAAGGCAGGAAACTATGTCCACAGGATAGCCATTTTTGTAGCATACCTAGAATCTGCAATTGCATAGGTAGTGGATTCGCAGGCATGTAATGTAAACTTATACTTTAGTTCCTGAAACTTGGAACCATTGTTTCCAGTGGCCTCCCAGCCTGCTCACCTGCATTACACTGAGTGTCTCTGCTTGTTGCATTTTGCTAAGGATTGCTCTCAGAATCTGGTCCAGGTTTTCTCCCAGCTCACTTCCTGCCTTGGAAATCAGTGTGGAGACTAGTCTGCCCACAAAGGCAGCTGTGAACTCTGAGGTCCGTGGATCCAGGAGTTGGCTCACCACCTGCATGACATACCACAGCCCATTGTGGCCTTGCTCATCATGCCATTGTGCAATCTGTTCTAGTGCTACTGAGACGTATGCACGCAGACACTCACCACCATTCTGAATACAAGAGAGAGAATTACTGTGTTAGAACTGTCAGACTCTCAAAACCAACTATATGTTGTGGGCACCCCCAAGTAACCAAGGAGAAAACCCATTTCACCACAGCACAAAGCACTTTAAACAGGAAGAAAGAATTAGTAAACAAGATGCGTGTGATGGGTAAAATGGTGGCAGTTGTGAGAAATCCAGTGCTCAGAAGACCTGGAGTGCAAGTATCTGCAATTCTGTTTCATTAATCTAGTATGCAGATACATTCCAAGAGATTCCAAACAGCTAGAGTCCGGGGTAGCTAGAGAGTAGTATGAGGGGCAAACATGACCCAGATTTCTACAGTAAAGCGCTCTGTTTCAAAAAAGATTGCAGTTCAGCAATCCGGCATACCGTATTCACCTTATTCTCGCTGGAGCACTGCTCAACGTGACCTCTTTCCATGGGCCCCACCCACGTGAGAAACGGAAGTTGGAACCACAAAGTTGCTTTTCTCTGTTTGAAGGTCACGGTGAGTAACTGACCCACCTTGGTCTATTCACAAACATGTTTAAGAAGCTGGAAGGCTCAAAAGGCCTTGCTTCCTATAACCCTGAAAGTCCCAATTCCTTGCTTAGAGCTGCTATGATGACCTCCTCAGGCAGCAGCAGGGGCTATCGGTAGGTGGAGCACAAAAGGTGCTCGTGCCCCTTCCCTACTCACCTGAAAAGGCTCTGGGAGTATGGTGGAGGGGCAAAGGAAGAAAATATGGTGAGGCAGGAACTGGCCAGGATGGGGGAGCAGCAGAAAAGCAACCACTACTCAGAGAGAGTTAGGTGTTCCGAGGAAATCAGGGACCAATAGCAGGCAGTGAAGCCTGCCTGAGCATTTCCACTCGCCCTGCTTCTTTAGCCACTTTCCTTTGATAAATGCTGTCAACAGGTGCAAGAGGGGAACTGGGATCAAATCTGTTTTTCCCCCTTGCCTCCTGTTTTCCCCCACTCAAATTAACAGGAGACTTGCCTACTATGAAGCAAGGCCTGGGCTCCCCAGGCTGAGGCTGCTTTGACAGAAAGCCTCTGCCAGGCAGGTTAATTACAAGAGAAAAAAGGGACATGTTCATGGCATGCTCCAGAGTCCTAAAGAGAAAAGACCAAGACTGGTCCTGCCCTGCCAGTTAAAAGGAGGGTTAGCAAAACTCACCACAGGCACCAAAATGAAGATGGCAGCAATTATTTATAAAAGATAGGAATAGCACTCAGGCTTCTGGCAAACCACCAGTGCGGCTGCTGGTGGGGTCAGACTGAGCCCCCACAAGGCAAAATGACCCCTTAAAGCAGGGGTGGGCAAACTTTTTGGCCGTAGGGCCACATCGGGTACAGAAATTGTATGGAGGGCCAGGTAGAGAAGGCTGGGGGAGGCTATGCCATCCCAAACAACAAGGTGTGGCCTGGCCCCTGCCCCCATTCCAGCCCCCCGGAACTCCCACCCCCATCCAACCGCCCCCCCCCCGGACTCCTGCATCCTATCCAAACACCCCTGCTCTCTGTCCCCTGACCATTCCCCCGGGACGCCCATCCCCTATCCAATCCCCCCTGCTCCTCACCCCCTGACCATCCCTGGAGCCTCCCCCGCCCCCTATCCAACCCTCCCTGCTCTCCCCACCCCATGTAACCTGTGGGGTGGGGGAAAGGGGATCTCAGTCCTTTCCCTGTAGATTTCCCCTGCTTGTTTGGCTGCTCTCCCTGGTAGTTGGGCAAGGCTCTCTCCCTGTCTGGGCTTGAGTGCTGGGAACAGGGGCCAAGCATTCTGGAGGTGGATGGGGGCCCTGGTTTGCTCTGCCCCTGTCCCCGGCAACAGGGGGCTTGACCACCCCCCTGCAACCCTCCCTGCTCCTCACCTCCCCGGAGCTTCCCCTGACCACACTGCCCTGGAGCACCAGGTCTGGCCACACTTTAGCTGTGCTGCCCAGGCGGAGCTGCAGCCATGCTGCCCAGGTGCTGGGGGAACTGTGACTGTGAGGGAGGCAGGGAGGGAGGGGAGCAGAAGGGGAGGGGCCAGGGGCTAGCCTCTGCCCACTCACCATGCTTCTGGGGAGTTGGGCTGGCTCCTCTGTGGTCCTGTCCTGATCCCGCTCCCTGGCAGGAGCTCAGGGGCCACAGGGAAGGGTCCTGCAGGCCGGATGTGGTCCGCAGGCCGTAGTTTGCCCCCCTCTGCCTTAAAGACTAGATAAAGCATGTCAATTGACTGACTTGTGTCATCCAACGCTTTGGACTGACATGACCCTGCAGTTCCTTGCCCCTTCCCTATAGACGTTACCTGCATGGTAGCATTGTCATCCGTGTGCAGGCTGCACTGAGCCACCGCAGGGAATGCTTGGCAGATCAAGAGCTGGGAAAGAGGAGGTTTCGTATTCCTCACAACAGTGGTTAATATATCAATAGAAGTCTGAAAGGGGAAAGCACATAAATAGAAGCTCTTTTAAACAGCAGTCACTGCACTGTAACTCAGCATTTCCACAAAGCCTGGGAGGGCAGGGTGAGATTCGAAGGCCTACCTGATAATGGGGGGAGGGCAGACAACAGTGACAGTGCAGATTCTCCTGTGGTGCCTCACTCACATGGGGGGGGGGAGGGAGGAGAAGGGAGGGAGGGAGAGGGGTGTTTGAGTTTGTTTTCTTGAAAACTTTTCAAATGTTGGAGAAATGCTTTGGTTTCTAGTGAGTGCCGGAGATGCCACCCATCATACACACTGCAGATTGAACAGGAGTCTTATAAGGATGATTTCCTAAGAACAGAGCCTCATTTCTACCCCCAACCCACATCAAACCTCTGCTGCCAGTCACCAGCACTTGACAGATATGGAGCAGGCAGCTGAATGACAACAGATGGAGCATTCAGCAGCAGCTCTTTCCCTGTACAGGAAACACATTATTTCGGCAGCAGGTGAAGGCCAACGTTCAGCAGCAAGTAGTTTTTAAACCCCCTTTTTCAAATAAGGAAGCTTTTTAGCATCAGTTGTGTGTGTCCAAGTGGATTTGATCATGCCCATTTCATAGGACTTCATGGGATGGATTACGCTTTGTAAGAAAACAAAGCAGATTTTTCAGCTTTTACCCCTGTAACATGCCTCAGAAACACAAGTACCAAGGAGGTCTGAAGATAGCAGGTAGCCCACAGCAAAGGTACTTTTCACAGTCACCCTTGACAACATACTGTTCTGCTGGTATACAGCTGCACCTGAAGTTATTTTAAAAAGCTTGTGTGGTGAAACATTTCCATTAATCTGATTCACCTAAAGGAACCAAGGCCAAACCAGAAAGGACGTTTATAAATACTGCAGGAGGACTGAATATCTCTTCCTCTCATCAACTATGCACCCTTAAAATGTAAGAGTAGGGCTCTTCAGCTTCCTCAACCAGCAGAAAGCACAAAAGGGGATTCAACAAAAATCAGTTATTTTAAAAAGTGCTTCTCAACACGCAAGCAAGTTCTCAAAAGGCTGGGCTGAGCGACATGAAAAATATGCATGTAGTCATTCCATTTGTAACTATTCAAATCACATGTGACACTTCCCACAAATGCCCCTGCTCTGGCAGTTAGTGCAGAACAACTGACTCCCCTTACTAGTTAATTCAAATTTTAGTTTAATATTGGGAAGTGTGACAGTGCATATGTAAATTTATCTATGATGACACTTTATATCATTCCATTTGATTTTAAAAGGGATGATGATTAATAATGCATGTTATAATAAAGGGTTAATCAACTGTCAGAGTAAGACAGGTCAATAGACTGCTCAGGCTACGTTTTAGTCATGGGTATTTTTAGTAAAAGTCCTGGACAGGTCACAAGCAGTAAACAAAAATTGACAGCCTGTGACCTGTCCATGACTTGTACTATATCCCTAACTAAAACCTGGGCCAGGAGGCCACGGATGCTCTGCGGGGGCAGTCTGGGAGTACGGCTCAGACCCCCCGCCGGTGCTGGGGGCGTGGCCTGGCCCCCCCCACTGGTTCTGGGGGGGGGAGGAGGGAGAGCAGGCAGCAGCACATAGCCCAGGACCCCCACTGGTGCTGGGGGGGATGGAGGGGAGGAGGTGGCACGCAGCCCAGGACCCCCACTGGTGCTGGGGGTGTGTGTGTGGGGGAGCATGGCACGGGACCCCCACTGGTGCTGGGGGGAGGGTTGGTGCAGCTGGCAGGCTCCCTACCCAGCTCCATGTGTCCCTGCAGCTCCTAGGGGGAGGGAAGGCAGGGGAGCTCTGTGCGCTGTCCCCGCCAGATGGGAAGGGGCAGCATGCAGAGCCCCCTGGGCCCCTGCCTAGGAGCTGCAGACACATGCCAGCTGCTTCTGGGGAGCCTCCCCCGAGGTAAGCGCCATCCTGCATGTCAACTCCCCACCCCATCCTTGCCCCCTCCCACACCCAAAATGCCCCACCGGCCGCTGCCAAAGTCATGGAAAATCACAGAATTAGTGACTTCCATGACCTCCGTGACAGACATGCAGCCTTATTCATAACAGCCAGTTAGAATGACATAAAACCACCTTCTACTGATGTGCTTATAACCAGGTATAACATATACTCCTCTCTGCTGGTTATTATAAATATTTTAATCATGTATTAATGCTTTATAAATGGAATCTCAATATAAAGCATGATCCTATATATTTTACATATACACAGTTACATGTGAGGTGTTTCATTGTGTACACAAAGGTGCAAACTCACATGGAAGGATATGTACAGCTTGGGTTCTAAAAACTGTGCATGTACCATGTTCATGACATGTAACGTGCATTACTGGAGAATGCCCTATTGTGAGAAAACTTACTTCCATAGGTTGCACTATTTCAAATGGTAAGAAAGAGCTAAAGACACTTTGTAAGGACTGGAAGAAGGCTGACAGACAACTGAGAGATAAAAGACTATGATGTGCATTTCTTCCAAACCTGGAGATCTCTTTCCCCACAGAAAGATCTCAGTCACTGAAGACATCGCTCAATAGTAGTTATGAGCTTCCTTTCTTGCTCTTTTCATACCAAAACAGGTTGATGGAATAGCATAAAGCCAATGCTTTTAATAGGTGCAGCAAGAACCCAACCTGCAGCTAAACCATCGTTTGCCATAGTACTTACTGCACAAAGCCCTGCTGGAATCTTATCAGCAGGAGCCTGCATGATGCTGACGAGAGTTGGGATTAGTCTCATCTGCATTGGACCCTGGCAGGCTTCTATCTGTGCTAGCTCCTTAAAGATATCTTGGGCGAGAGAGGCAACAACAGGATCTAGAGTGAGAAAGCACCAGTTACTAAGACAAACTAATGAGTATTGGTCTAAAATTTTGTTGCTATCATTTCAATAAGGTAAACTGCAAATTTTATTACAGAAGGTTACACGAATAGTCTTTACTGGAACATCCAGTTTACTTTCAGCCTCATTAAGCAACTAGGAGTAATCGGAAGAAAATTCAGTCAGTTTCTGTATGGCTATATGGCATTTACTAAACAATTCTGTGCATGAAGGTAGACTTTCAGTATATTTGTGTCTGTAGCCAAGGAACCAAGTATCATGCTGCACAATAAATCTGATACAATAGGGAACTGGGAATAATGTGGCATTTCACCCTCACCCCTTTGCCCTTCATCGTCCCCCAGACCAGGGCAGTAAGTACAATGTTTAATACAAATGATTTTAGTATTGAACTCAATTTTATGCCATCCACAAAATTGCAGCCTTCAGTCTGGGGCAGAATTTTACAGTGACAAAGTTTAACTACACCACAGAAATTGTCAGGGGAAAGTTGGAAGTTTTGACACCTGGGTAGGGAACGCTAGCTTTGGCACCTAGAAATACACGGAAAACAGTTATGGTTTTTGGTATACAGGAAGCAGTTTAGGGCTTCAGTATTTGGAAGGGGATTTTTTTCAGAATGGGAACGAGTTAATTTAAAATTTGGCGGTGGTGCATTTGAATTCCTCATTCAGGCAACCCAAACAACTACCAGCACTCAGTTACGTCACTGGATAGCTACCCAATATCAACAATAAATAAGCAGAACAAATTGATGTTTCTGTTAAGATATTCTACAATAAAATAGTTGAAGTTTACATACAGCTATCAAACTTAATGACAAGTTAAACTTCTCTTATACATTTATCTTATACTTTATGCATCCAATGAAGTGAGCTGTAGGTCACGAAAGCTTATGCTCAAATAAATTGGTTAGTCTCTAAGGTGCCGCAAGTACTCCTTTTCTTTTTGCGAATACAGACTAACACGACTGCTACTCTGAAACTTCTCTTATACAGTTATAATGATTAAGGGTGTCTGGAGACTCAGGCTGGCATTACTACATTACAAAGCTCATATTTTAAACATTTTTATTGCAACCATAAGAGCTAGAGACGTAAATGCATAGATTTTAAGGTCAGAACGGATGATAAAGATCTAGTTTGACCTCCTGCATAACAGGTGATATAATTTAATTCAGGTTTCAGAGTAGCAGCTGTGTTAGTCTGTATTCGCAAACAGAAAAGGAGTACTTGTGGCACCTTAGAGACTAACCAATTTGAGCATATATATAAGTTTATGCTCAAATAAATTTGTTAGTCTCTAAGGTGCCACAAGTACTCCTTTTATAATTTAATTCAGTGATTCCTGCATCAAGTCCATAACTTTGTCATCCAATCTCAATTTAAAGATCCCCGGAGGTGGAAAATCCACTGTGTCCCTAGGAAGGCTGTTCTAATAATCACCCTCCCAGAAACAACTGTGTGCTTATTTTCAGTTTGAACTTGTCTAGCTTCAGTTTCCATCCACTGGATCTTGTTATGTCTTTGCTAAGTTAAATGTATGATTGGCAAAGTTATATAAAGCAATGCATCCTGCTGCTCAGTTTCTCTATCTCCACATCACAGAGATACATACCTTGCTCTCGGTCTAGGACCCTGGATTTGTGACTTGACTAAAATAATCAATTTTATATAGTTAATTTTCATGCGATTTATTTCTTACAATCTTCATTTAGATTTTACACACTGTTGTATAATTGACCTCAAGTCACTTCAGCCTGGCGATGGCATGGCTGATCCTAGTCTTATGGAAAAGAGGGGTTTAAGCAGTGTACCTCTTGCCCCACTGTCTTTCCAGCATCTGATGCCTACACCATATGCCTCCTTTACCTTGGAGATCGACACTTTTCTGAGTGTTGCCAGCTATGTCAAAGCCTTTACACCAGGGGCTCAAAAAGAATGGCAGGCCCATCTCCAGGCCTTCCCGATGCAGTGAGCCCTTCAAGAGGGTGCCTTGGAACAGGCAGCTCATGGGTCCAGTACTGAGCATGATCACAAGAGGCCTTCTTGAGTCCTAAAACCTATTCCCATTGAAAAGGGGAAGTCTGCAGTGCTGTCCATGGTTCCCAAATCTGGTTCCAAGCCAAAACCAGACCCATCTGGGACATCCCCCTACAACATAGGGACGAATTGATCAGCGGGGCCTACAGACCCTAGTTTAAAAAACACTGCATTAGATGTTAAAAGGATCCGAGGTCCAAACCATTTAGATATAGTCTCTGACCTTCTGAATAGTTTCTGACTGTGGTCTATAGTAAACAGCATCAGGGGAATACCATCTCCACTAACACACTGAGAGTGGATTAAAGATTATATAGACTTATGCCTTAGCGAGGGCCCACTCCATCATGGCTAATTCCACTTCCGTGGCTTGTTATCAGAATGTCTTTATTGTGGAGATTTCCAGAATGGCTACATGGAATTTAATACACTGCTTGCTGGACTTGGCATCCTGTGGCAGAGTGGGAGTAGCCTAGGGCTGGCTCACCATTCTGTGCACTTCGTAAACATCCCTGCCAAACTGGGAGATAATTAATGAGGTCTGGGTGATTAACCAATTAACAAGGGGATTCAGCTGGGGATCGTTAAATGGGAGACAAAGACAGAAGGAAGGGCAAAGAAACTCGGGAACTGAGAGGTGAGATCTCTTTCCTCCTCACCTCCCTTTATCTAAGGGGGTATGTTGAAGCTTGGGAAAAGCTTTATGGAGATGGAATATGAAGTTCCATATGACACTGTAAATAAAGTACACTGCGGGCAACTTCCGTAAGTGTGTGTGAGGACTGTTTACAAAAGAAAGTCAGGGAGCGGGAGCTCACCCCGTGACAAGTGGAGGCTTGTCTAGGATAACAAGGACTGTTTGTGTGCTGGCTCTGTTAAAACTCCTGGAAGGTTTTCTGTAACTCCTTTTTCTGCTCAATTACCCAGTGCAGAAGTTCCTCCATACTGCCGAGTCTGCTGTGCTTTCTCATCAGCTCCCCTTTCTGGTCCTTTGCCTACACTGGAATGGGAAATCCTGGATAAGTCCCCATTTGTCACAGGGTGGCACACCCTGAATTACTCTGTGCAAACAGTACTCACATGCTCTTATGTAAGTTCACCAGTGTACTTTACTCCCAATATCCTATGCAGCTTAATGTCCCATCACCAAAAGGCTTTTCCCCGGCTTCGGCATACATCCTAGGCACAGGGAGGAAGGAGAGATCTCACCTCTCAGATCCTGATCTTCTTTGCCCTTTCTTCCCTCTCCCTGTCTTCCATTTAACAATCCCCAACTGATGAGCTGAATCCCCTCATTAACTGGTTAATCACCCAGTCCTAATTATCTCTCAATTTGGCCCACACAAGGACACTTACAAAGCTTACAGAGCGATGAGCCAGCCCTAGACTACTCCCACTCTGTCAGTTGCCTCCTTTTAAATTAACAGTTCCTCAGTTCACCCCTGACCTGGACTCCACTGCCTGCTACAATTTCCAAAAAGTGGCAACAAAAATATATACTAAGATAGTGAAATTGTATATGCACACTTCCTGCCTGCCTTTCCCTCTTCCTCATAATTCTTTATATGTCTCTGGACACTGCTGTGGTCATATAAGGGAATGTACTAGCTTCTGCCTCAGTTCTTTTCCCCTGAACCCCAGTCAAACATTCAACACTGAGAGGGCACCTGTGCCTCCACCAAGTGATGCAGCTTGCTAAGGAGTTCTGAGCACAAGGCAGCAGGGAGCCCAATTCCCAGAAGTGTATACATTCAGAGGTACCTCTCACAGGACTAGTTACTAATAAGTAACACTTCTTTAGTCAATTCTGACATCTATTGCACATGCCACACTCTCAGCAGAGGTTGCCTATTTATTCTACCGACTCAAACAGAATTTAGGCAGCACAGTACTTGGGTAACAGCTTAATACATTCAACACTTCAGATTATGAGAGCAACCTTAGAAAACCTGTTCTGTCCACCTTCATCAATGGATGCAGACTTGTCTACACACTAGTGACTGATGACAGTGCAATGTTAACAGAAATCTAGTAAGAGGATGGCTTCAGGCAACAAGGTATGCTGTAACACACAGCTAAGAGTAAACCAATCTGGGATTTTATTGGATAAACTCCATTTAAGGAAACAAAGGGAAACTTGAATGCAAAAATAGTATGGCTTCCTCAGAATGACTTAATACCTCAACTTATTACTTCAGGACAGTAAGAGCCATACTTTTATATACAAAATGCCTTCTTCTGATCTATGAGTCAGCCTGCCCCCTACATTATTCCTGGTGGAAGAAAGTTCTCTTTTCACACACAACTGCATATCATACCAGTTCTTATACTTCACTAATAGTGCAGAAAGCTATTGCAAAACCCTTATCAAAGAGAAGGTTAAAAGAACTTGATCACAGTCTATAAGCACTTATGTGGGTAGAAGATTTAGATGGCAGAAGGGTCTTTAATGTAGCAGACAAAGGCAGAACAAGATCCAATGGCCGGAAGTTGAAACTAGACAAACTCAGGTTAGAAATAAAGTGCAAATTTTTGGAACTACTTGCCAATGGGCTAAATACAGGAATCAACGGGCACAATTCTCTGGCCTGTGCTATACAGGATGTCAGACTAGATGATAATCGTTCCTTTTGGCCTTAAAATCTAAGGATAATGTATTTCCAAAATGTCATTCTGTACATTTTAAATACACACTTCAAATGTCAATTTTACAGGTAACCTGCAGGAGATTAATCTTGACCAGACTCCATTAGCAAAGACAGATCAATATTTAAAAGACACTTTGGGCACATACCATTACTGTACTTGAGGAAGATTGCTATGGTGAAGGGGCAAATTTTGTTCTCCACATTTGCTGTAAATGCTGGGTCTACTGTACAGACAATGCAAAGTGTTTCCATCACAAGATTGAGGACCTCTGAACTGAACTGAGCTGCCAAGTGGATCAGTCCATCCAGGATACTGGGAAGGAAAGGCTGCAATACATGGGTGCTTTCAGAGATCTTCAGCTGGTCACAGTAACTAGATAAGGAATTCATGGTACAAAACACACAAGTATAGTATTTACAATAGCACTAGAGGATCATAGATCAGAGTATTTTTTTTCTTTTCTCTCTTTTCATCCCAACTGTATATTTTTTGTTTTAGCCATCTGACCCCTGTATTTCCTTTTTTCCTACTCAAACCCAAATTTTGAATTTAAAAAAAATTAAATTGCTATTCATCTTTTAGAACCAATATGGATGGATCCTCTACATTAGTTTAGATCTTTAAAATTTTGTAACTGGCAAACATGCCCTCCTTGCGTAGCTGTGGGGAAGACCCTATCAAGAGCTGAACAGTTGTGCTTCTTCAGTGAAGAAGATGGGGATTTTCACTCTCTTAAAAGCACCACGAAAATCAGCTCTGCGGGATCTTTCTGTGCCACAGTACACAGTGGTTTGTGAAGTGAACTGGGGCTAGTGCCTCAACTAAGAAAGCATAGGTACAAATAGTGCAACTATGATTTGAGTCCTACATTTATAATGTTACTGTCTACATTTTTGTTTAAGCTTTCAGTGACTGGTATTATACCTTCTAATCAAATCTTCCACTTGCACATCACTATAAAGGGCATTACATTTGAGATCCAAATTAACTTCCATTCTGCACATGCCATCCCTGGTGTTATTCCTCACATTGTACATTTATGAGAGTAAAGTGAAAAAAGCGGTTACTAACCTTTTGTAACTGCTGTTAGAAATGTGTTGCTCATGTCCATTCCATGTTATGCGTGTGTGCTCGCCACATACATCGGTGCCGGAAGCTTTTCCCTCAGTGGTATCCATAGGGGACCAGCTCTGGCGCCCATATAAGGGACGCTGCTGACCCTCTCCCTCCCTCAGTTCCTTCTCGCCGGAACTCCAACAGTGGGGAAGGAGGGCAGGTCATGGAATGGACATAAGGAATACATCTCGAAGAAAAACAATTACAAAAGGTTAGTAACCGTTTTTTCTTCTTCGAGTGCTTGCTCATGTCCATTCCACGTTAGGTGACTCACAAGCAGTATCCCCGGAGGTGGGTAGGAGTTCATGGACGTGTCAATTGCAACATGGCTCTGCCAAAGCCAGCATCATCTCTAGCCTGCTGGGTGATGGCATAGTGGATCATGAAGCTATGCACCGACGACCATGTTGCAGCCCTGCAGATATCCTGGATAGGGACTTTTGCCAGTACAGCTGCCGAAGATGCCTGTGCTCTGGTCGAATGGGCCGTCACTATCTGGGGAGGTACGACCTGCGCCAGCTTGTAACAAGTGCGAATGCAGGTGGTAATCCAAGATGAAAGTCTTTGATAGGATACTGAGAGGGCTTTCATTCGGTCAGCCGCCGTGACAAAAAGTTTAGTCAATTTACAGAAGGGCATGGTATGCTCTAAGTAGAAAGCCACAGCCCGTCTGACATGAAGCGTGCACATGCACCCCTCTTTGTTAGATGCATGAGGCTTCGGGCAGAAAACTGGGAGAAATGTGTCCTGATTAATAGGGAAAGGTGACACCACCTTTTGCAGGAAAGCCGGGTGGGAACGCAACTGAACCATGGCCTTGCAGAACACAGTGTACGGGGGCTCCGATGTAAGGGCTTTAATCTCGGAGACTCGCCTTGCTGAAGCGCTAGCCACAGGGAAGGCAACTTTCCACTATAGATGTGAAAGAGAGCAGGAGGCTAACAGCTCAGAGGAGGGCCAGTGAGCCTAGAAAGGACTAGATTGAGGTCCCATTGGGGGACCGGTGGAAAGAGTCTCTCCAGGCTCTTAAGGAACCTGATCGTCATCTCATGCGAGAACACCGATCTGCCCTGGATGGCTGAAATGGCAGCCTGGTGCACCTTGATGGAGAAGGCTGGGTCTTGATGCTTTAAATGAAGCAGGTAGTCTAGAATGGACTGTAGAGGTGACTGGGTCGGGGAGATCCCCTGCTCCAACACCCAGCAGGAGAAGCGTTTCCACTTCGCCAGATAAGTCACTCTCGTAGAGGGTTTTCTACTTTCCACCAGTCCTCTGGGTTCAGCCATACAGCATCCACATTGTGAGGTGGAGGGAGGCGAGGATTGGGTGCAGTCACCTCCCTTGATCCTGAGAGCAGATCTGGGCAGTTGGGAAGCGTTCATGGGGGCGCTGATGCCAATCCCATGAGCATGCCGAACCAATGCTAGCGGGGTCACGCTGGGGTGATCATGATGACCCTGGCTTTGTCCCTCTTCATTTTCAGGAGGGTCCTGCCGATAAGAGGGATTGGCAGGAAGGCATACATCAGGCCCTCTGCCCAAGACAGAAGAAAGTCTTCGGAGAGTGGGGATAAGAGAGATTGACGGGAAGGTGTACGTCAGGCCCTCTGCCCAAGACAGGAGAAAGGAGCCCTTGGAGAGAGCAGACACTTCCTGTTCTATCTGGTGGCAAACAGGTCCACCTGGGGAGTTTCCTACCTCTGGAAGATCTTTCTGACAACCTCCTCATGAGGGACCACTCGTGGTGAGAACAGAACAGCCTGCTACGGCGATTTGCCAGCTTTTTTTCTGACACTAGGAAAAGGTAGTGCCTCGATGTGTATGGCGTGCCGAATGCAAAAATCCCACGGCCAGAGGGCTTCTTGGCAGAGAACCGAGGACCGTGCTCCCCCTTGCCTGTTGACATAGAACATGGTGTCTGTACTGTCAGTCAACACCTGAACTACTTGATGTGATAGCTGCAGAAGGAACACTTCACAAGTCAACTGGATGGCTCTGAGCTCCCTGACGTTCATAGAATGATAGAATATCAGGGTTGGAAGGGACCTCAGGAGGTCATCTAGTCCAACCCCCTGCTCAAAGCAGGACCAATCCCCAACTAAATCATCCCAGCCAGGGCTTTGTCAAGCCTGACCTTAAAAATTTCCAAGGACAGCGATTCCACCACCTCCCTAGGTAACGCATTCCAGTGTTTCACCACCCTCCTAGTGAAAAAGTTTTTCCTAATATCCAACCTAAACCTCCCCCACTGCAACTTGAGACCACTACTCCTTGTTCTGTCATCAGCTACCACTGAGAACTGTGAATGTTGATGTGCAGTGAGAGCTCGTCCCGGGACCACAGTCCCTGGGTCTTCAACGATCCGAGGTGGGCCCACCCAGCCTAGGTCAGAGGCATCTGACACTAGCACCTTCATGGGTTTCGGGGTTGCAAAGGGTGTTCCTTTGGAAATGTTTACTGGGTTTGACAGCATTTTAGAGCTGTAAGCACTTGTGGCGGAATCACGAGGACTCTGTCTGGGTGGTGCTTGGCTGGGATGTAGACCGATGCTAGCCACATCTGGAGGGGCCTGAGCTGCAGACGTGAATGGCGAACTGCATAAATACATGCTGCCATGTGTCCGATTAGCCTGAGGCATACTCTAGCCTTGGTGAGGTGGGCAATTAGAACTGACATCACCTCGAATCTGGGCTTTGGGAGAAAGGCTCCGGCCTGTGTAGAGTCTAGGACTGCCACTATAAACTCTATTCTTTGCACTGGGACTAATGTCAATTTGTATGTGTTTATCAACAGACTCAGTGCCTGGTACATGGCTTGCACCAACAAAATGCTGTGAAGGACCTAAACCTGTGAACAACCCTTGATGAACAACCTGGCTTTATTTTAAAGAATCCTTATTGAGGTTACAGGGACAAACCATCCCGATGTGTAGAAAAAATAGTAAATATGGCAGGCGACCAGCTTGGCTTAACAGTGAAATCCTTGCTGATCTTAAACACAAAAAAGAAGCTTACAAGAAGTGGAAGCTTGGATAGATGACCAGGGAGAAGTATAAAAATATTGCTCAGGCATGCAGGAGTGAAATCAGGAAGGCCAAATCACATCTGGAGTTGCAGCTAGCAAGAGATGTTAAGAGTAACAAGAAGGGTTTCTTCAGGTATGTTGGCAACAAGAAGAAAGCCAAGGAAAGTGTGGGCCACTTAATGAATGAGGGAGGCAATCTAGTGACAGAGGATGTGGAAAAAGCTAATGTACTCAAAGCTTTTTTTGCCTCTGTCTTCACTAACAAGGTCAGCTCCCAGACTGCTGCGCTGGGTATCACAACATGGGGAATAGATGGTCAGCCCTTGGTGCTGTCACTAGACTGAACGGAAGCCTGTGAACTGGTAGTGGTTTTGTCCCACTACAAACTGCAGGAACCTTCTGTGTCCATGAAGATTGCGATATGAAAGTATGCGTCCTTGAAGTTGAGGGCAGCGTACCATCTCCTGGATGGGGATGATGGAGGCCAGGGAGACCATGCGAAACTTCAACTTCTTAAGATACTCGTTGAGGCCTCAAGGGTCCAAAATGGGGCATAGACTGCCCTTGGCCTTTGGTATGAGAAAATACCGGAAACAGAAACCCTTCCCCTTCCGATGCACAGGGACATCCTCTATGGCTCCAACTAGCAAGAGGGCTTGCACCTCTTGGGCGAGAAGCTGCTCATAAGAGGGTCCCAAAGAGGGATGGGGTAGAAGGATGGGAGGGAGGGGTAGAAATAAATTGTAGGGTATACCCCACCACCACAGTGCTGAGGACCCATCCGTCTGTTGTTATAGCAGCCCAAGCAGGGAGGAAGGAAAAAAGGCGGTTGGAAAATAAAAGAGGTACAGGATCCTGCCGGTAGACTGGGACGTTGCCGTTGGGCACACCCGCAAAACACCCGCTTGTTACCCAGGGGTAACGGGAGGAACCCAAGTGAGAAGTAGGGCTGGATTTTTGGCCTTGGCGGTGCTTATAGTCCCTGCCCTTCTTGTGATAGCACTCTGTTTGGGTTGACTGCTTGGTCTGAGGCTGCTGTGATTTGAACCGCTTTCTGGCTGGGGCCAGTGTATATAGGCCTAGGGAACATAGGGTAGCCCTAGAGTCCTTAAGCCCATGCAACCTTGTGTCCGTCTGTTCTGTGACCAGAGCCAGGCCATCAAAGGGCAGGTCATGGATCGAGAGCTGAGCCTCTGTCGACAGCCCTGAAGACATCAGCCACAATACCTGCCT